TACGTGGTTCGGCAATGTGCCTACGTCCACGGGAGCTCAAGATCAATGTACTAATTATCAAAAAACCCAAAGGGTTACAAAAGGCTCTCAAATGAGAAAATAAATATTATTTTCTCTAAACTCTCTTTGCTCACTTGAATGCTCTTGAATGATTTTCGAATGAATTAAAACTATGAGATACAAGGTCTATTTATAGCCAACACATCTCCCTGATGATGTAAGCAATGATGTAAGCAAAGCCTGATATAAGCGATGACATATGCAAGGCTTGATGTAAGCGATGACATATGCAACTGATGATGTAAATGATGACATATTCAACTGATGATGTAAGCGATGACATATTTTGAGCCAATTCTAATTTTTGCAACTCCAAATTTGTCAACAGTTTAGTCTGCATCCGCTTGAAAAACAGAGCTGCTTTATGTGTAAAAATGCTAACAAGAAGCTGATATAGTGCGTTTTCATTGCATGGGCATTACCAATGAAGTGTTATGCCTGGCACACCCAATATTTACTCAAATCAAGGAGCCAAAAATCAATAATGCAGTCCAAGACACAATTGTACAAGTACAACTATGAAAAACTGATTCATGGTGATTTTTTCACAATTTGTCATGACAATTGGTAAAAGGCACATCAATAATATATAATTGATTACTGACATGGATGTTTTCGTCAATTACCTGAAAATGGAACAGAGAAACAAACAACAGTTAGCTATCAATTAAGGAAAAAAAAAAAACCATCATACAATGACGACATAGATTAGCAGAAAATAGATAAATACCATGCGATCAGGTTGCATGTTAACCACTCAAATCCGACAGCCTGCAATTTTGCTCTCAGCGCTTAACTTTTCTGATGTTCGAAATGTCTGGTAATTTTCCTAGTGACTTGCATCCAGAAATGTCCAAGAATGTCAAAAAATTTAGTTCATCGAGTCCCCAAATCTCAGTAAGTTTCGCACAGTTACAAAGTCGTAATTCCTTTAAATTTTTTAGTCTCGACAGATCAGGTATCCTCTCCAAGGTTGTGCATGATGATAAGTCCAACATCTTCAAGGATTTCAAAGCCTCAAGACCTTCTATCTCATGTAGCTTCTGGCACTGGGCGAGGTTTAAATCTTTCAGCATTTCCAAGTTCGATAGATCAGGCAATCTTTTCAAGGATATGCATCCACTCACATTCAAATATTCCAAGGACTCCAATCTGTCAAGGCCCCTAATTTCATTCAGCTTCTCGCAATTCAAAGAAACAAATTTCCTTAACTTCTTTAAATTTGAAAGATCTGGTAATGTTTCTAGTGATTCGCACCATGATGTCCTCAAGTATCTTAAAGATCTTAGCTGTTCTAGCCCTTCAAGCATACGCAACTTTATGCACTCAGATACGTCTAAACTTATTAGGAGTTCTAATCTTCCAAGGCCTTGAATCTCTGTTAACTCTGAGCACTGGCCAAACATTAGTTCTGATAAATTTTTCAAATTTGAAAGATCTGGCAGCCTCTTCATTGAATCACAAACTTGAAGAAAAAGTTTGAACAGACTCGAGGGAAGAGTTGGAAGGCATTGAAGTTGTTCACAATTTTGAATAGTGAGCTCCTTAAGCCTAGAAAGGGCACCAAGCTCCATTGGTAGGATGCTAATGCTAATACCATACAAGGTTAAGGTCTCCAGTTTGGCTAACTTTCCAATATCTTCAGGAATTTTCAACAGCTTAGAGCACTTAGAAAAACACAATTCCTTTAGATTCATCAGGCTAGGAAAGTTTAGAAATGTCTCCATTGACATGCAAGTGACTCGTAGACTTACTAGACTAGAGGGAAGCTCTGGAAGAAACTGAAGCTCTCTGCAATCGAGTAAATCAAGGGTTTGGAGGCGAGAAAGCCCTCAAATGCTTGTTGGTAGGTTACAAATATTTGTGCAATCTATTCTTAAGATTCTCAGAGAGGATAGTCTCTCAACACTACTGGGAATTGCACCTTCCAAATTGTAACTGTAGAAATGAAGATTTGTATGAGGATATACAGAGAGAGAGAGAGAGAGAGAAAGACCGTAAGAGGGAGAGAGCAAAACACATTTCTCATTTTCATATATTCTAACCCTAAAACATAAGGGGTATTATATACAATACAATAAAGGCTTAATTACATAACAGCCACAAACCCTATATCTAATTACCATAAGACCCCAGCCTAAATACATATATACATATAAGTGTTTCAACACTCCCTCTCAAGCTGGAGAATATATATCATATAATCCCAGCTTGGAACAAATTATTTTTAAACGATTATGACCAAGAGCCTTAGTAAACATATCAGCTAGTTGATCTTCAGACTTCACGAATGGAGTAGAAATATTTCCACTCAATATTTTCTCTCGAGTGAAGTGACAATCAACTTCAATGTGCTTGGTTCTTTCATGAAAAACTGGATTGGATGCGATGTGAATAGCTGCTTGGTTATCACAGAGTAGTGGAATAGGAGTCTTGACTATTAACCCAAGTTCTTCAAGAAAATGTTGAATCCACATTAACTCACTAGAGGTATGGGCCATTGCCCTGTACTTTGCTTCAGCGCTAGACCGTGCTACAACCGTTTGCTTCTTACTTTTCCATGTAACAAGGTTTCCACCAACAAGTGTACAATAGCCTGTAGTAGATTTCCTATCTGAGGGAGAACCAGCCCAATCAACATCTGTGAAACCTGTCACATTAAGATGACCATTAGGTTTACATAATAATCCAAAACCTGGAGCTTGTTTGAGATATTGAATAATTCGAAGAACCGCATTCCAATGTGGTACTCTAGGAACACTCATGAACTGGCTTACAACACTAACTGCATATGAAATGTCAGGTCGGGTGATAGTGACATAAATTAATTTCCCAACTAGACGTCGATATCTGCCATGATCGTCAAATAAATCACCCTCATCAGGTAATAATTTTATATTTGGGTCCATAGGAGCATCAGCAGGGCAAGTACCTAACATACCTGTTTCTTTTAACAAGTCCAACACGTATTTTCTTTGAGATAGACTTATACCTTCCTTGGATCTAGCAACCTTAATACCCAAGAAATATTTGAGTTTGCCTAGATCCTTTGTGTGAAACCGATTCTGCAAGAACAATTTTAACTTTGCAATGCCATCAGAATTATCACCTGTTATAACAATATCATCTACATATACCACAAGAAATATAAAGCCAGTTTTAGTATGTTGGTGAAATACCGAATGATCTGTCTCACATCTGTTAAGGCCAAAGGAAAGTACCGCCTCGGAGAATTTTCCAAACTAAGCCCTTGGAGATTGTTTCAATCCGTACAGGGCCTTTTTAAGTCGACATACAGCATAACGAGACTCCCCCTGAGCAACAAATCCAGGTGGTTGCTCCATGTAAACCTCTTCATGTAAGTCACCATGTAAGATAGCATTTTTCACATCTAATTGAAACAATGGCCAATTACGATTAGCGGCAATAGAAATAAGGATTCGGATAGAAGAAATCTTCGCAACAGGAGAAAAGGTCTCGTCATAATCAATACCATAAGTTTGTGTGTATCCCTTTGCAACAAGACGAGCCTTTAATCGTTCAACAGATCCATCATGGAGATATTTGACAGTGTAGACCCACTTACAACCAACCGTTTTGGAACCGGGGGGTAAGGAAATAAGATCCTATGTCCCATTATGATGAAGAGCATCCATTTCATCTATCATGGCTTTGCGCCAAGCTGTATCAGATAGAGCATCCTGCACAGTTTTTGGAATAGCAGTAACATATAACGTGGATAAAAAACAAGAAAATGAGGGCGATACCTTTTTATAGGAAATAAAGTTAGATATGGGATGTGCAGTGACACAGGAACGAACACCCTTACGTAATGCAATAGGAAGATCATCAGTAGCAGGAGGAGCCTCAATGGAAGTAGACAATTTTGGGGGGGGGGGGGGGGGGCTACTCGTGATCGACGGCTATACACTTGAAGAGGCGGTGGCACATGAGGTGATTGTGGTGGGTCACAGGGTAATGAATTTGACACAACAGGTAACGGAAGCAGCAGCTCGGTATCTAAAGACGAACTATGTGAAGAAAAATAAGGAGTATCCTTAAAAAAGGTAACGTCCATGCACATAAAAGCCTTATGAGTGCTAGGATCCCAACATTTATAACCTTTTTGAGTCTGAGAGTATCCAATAAAGACACATTTAATGGCACGAGGAGACAATTTATCAGCACCAGGGCGTAATATGTGAGCAAAACACATACACCCAAAAACACGAGGCGGCAATGCAAATAATGGTCGAGTAGGAAAAACAAAGGAGTAAGACATTTCCAATTAAGAACGGAAGATGGCATACGATTAATTAAATAACAAGCAGTTAAAACAGCATCGCCCCAAAATGCTTTTAGAAGATGCATATGTATCATCAATGTACGAGCTATTTCAATTAAATGCCTATTTTTCTGTTCAGCTATGCCATTTTGTTGAGGAGTATAACAATAAGAAGTCTGGTGCAAAGTACCACGGGAGTCACAAAAATTAGAAATAGCACCTTTGACATACTCCATAGCATTATCAGATTGTAAAGTGCGTATAACACACCCAAATTGGACCTCAATTTCTTTTAAAAATATTTGAAATATGGAAAACAGTTCAGAACGGTCTTTCATTAAAAACAACCAAGTCATCCTTGAATAATCATCAACAAAGGTAACAAAATAAGAAAAACCTGAGTAACTAGTGTGACGAGCGGGACCCCAAATGTCCGTATGTACTAATTCAAATAAAGAAGACCGACGATTAACAATACGAGGAGGGAAAGGCACTCTATGGTGCTTACCCAACTGACAAGACTCACAATTTAAACTAGACACCAACTCAAGGAAAGGCAAAGCAGACTTCAAATACCGCAACGAGGGATGACCTAACCGATAATGCCACTGGTACACAGACATCTGGGAATGTAAAGTAACAGTGGAAGGTTTGCAATCCAAATAGTATAGGCCATTTATGTTACTGCCCCCACCAATCGTCTGTTTCGTGTTGAGAACCTGAAAGACACAAGACGAAGGATAAAATGTGACAAAACAGTTCAGAGCTTGAGTCAATTTACTTACAGATAATAAATTAAAGGGAAAATTTGGAACTAATTGCACAGAGGATAAAAAAATAGATGGGGTTAATTTAATTGTTCCCTGGCCGATAATGGAACATGTTCTACAATCAGCCAGAGTAACAAAAGATGAGGAACTAGACTTCTGAAAATTAGAAAATAGAGAGGCATTACCTGTGAGATGGGTAGAAGCCCCAGAGTCAATAACCCAAGGGGATGCTGAAGTCTGTAAATTGGACAAGCATGCAATATTACGTGATTGCGCAAAATTAACTACATCAGTAGAGTTGGGATGTGTCCGGTTGACTAAAGCATTGAACTCAGCTCGTAATAGTGATAGTGCCACAATGTCACTAGTAGATGCAGGTGATGGTAATACAGAAGTCTGACCAGGAGAGGGATGAGACCCCGAAAGGTCAGAGGAAGATACTGCTTGATTTGCCCATGCTGGTTTCCCATGAAGAGTCCAACAGTTCTCAACAGAATGGTTAGTACCTTTACAGTGGCTGCACATACGAGTGTCACTACGTCCACGACCACGGCGATTGCGACTTCTATCACGGCCACTACTACCACGAGAACTACCTGAATTTCCATCATACCCTCTGTTGCCACTAGGAGTATCACCTGAATTTCCACCATACCCTCTGTTGCCAGTAGAACTATCACGACCTCTAGAGGACTGTGGAAAAATAGAAGGAATCATCATAGCTGAATTTTCTTTCACTCCAGTGGGTGTCACATGTGATTGTTCTGAAACCCTAAGTAAGCGGGAGTAAATGTTACCCAAAGATGGGAGTCCTCCATCACCCGCAAGAATCTGGTCCCGAATATTATGAAGGTTCGGGTGCAAACCAGCAAGAAAAATTGAAACAGAAAATTCCTCACGTTGTCGCTTGAGAACATCAGGATTAGTAGTCAAGGGGTGGTACTGATTTAACTCATCTAGCAGGCTTTTGAAATTACTGTAATACTCACCAAGGCCTTGACTAGAGAAGTCAGATTGATGAGAATGAAATATCTTTTCATACAATGAATATATGCGCGAAATATTTGTGTCCATAGAATAAGTTTCTTTAATTGCATCCCAGATTGCCTTGGCAGTGTTGACAAACATAAAAGTGGATGCAATTGAAGGTTCCATACTGTTCCACAACCAGGACATAACCATATAGTTATTAGTTTCCCACTCCTCATATGTTGCTGATGTTTTTGATGGAGGATCAGTAGTAATAAACTACAGTTTTAGTCGGGCACCTAAAGAAATCTTTACTGCTTGAGCCCATAGTAAGTAATTAGAATTACTTAATTTCATAGATGTAATTTGCAGCCCAACAGGATCAGCATATGTTGCAGAAGATTTAACTCCAGAAGACCCAGAAGCAAAATTTGAATCTTCCGGCATGGAGATGTGAATATGAAAAGAGAAAAAAAAAAAAAAAAGAACTTATCTCCGCCAAGTTACCAAAGAAGTTGTTGAACACGAGAAGGCAAGACCAGAGTTGAACCGGGAACAAAAGAAGATTCGGAGCAGAACAGACCCGGCAAGAGAATCGGACCGGATCCTGAATCGGGTCGAACAGAGCCGGATCCTGAATCGGGTCGAACAGGGCCGGATCCTGAATCGGGTCTAACGGGCCAGATCTTGGATCAGATCTAATGGTCCGGATCCTGGATCGGATCTAACGGGCCGGATCTTGGATCAGATATAATGGGCCGGACCTTAAATCGGGCCCAAACAAATCCAGTTTATATCAACCTAGATTAGGATAGCGAGCACTTGTAGCCAAACACCATTCGTCTCTCAACTCTCTGGCAAGTATGCAGCGGCAGCGGCAACGACGATGGAATAAACAAGCAGCGATGCACCTCGCGACAGCCGTCGGTGACCAAACAACGAGCAGCAAATGACGATGACAGCCGCCGGTGACCAAGCAGCAAGCAGCGACGGCAAGAGAAGGCGGCAAGTAACAAAACTGGGTTTCAGATCTGAGACCAAGCAACTAGCAACGACGAGAGAAGATGGGGAGCAGCGACAACGAGGGAAGGCAGCGAGTTCGTTGACAACCAAAAAACGGCAACAACACCACCGTCGTGAGATCTGAACAGATCTACAAATCTATACAGGAACAATACGATTGCAATTTCCCACCCTCATAATTTTGATCTGCTCTGATACCATGTAGAAATGAAGATTTGTACGAGGATATACAGAGAGTGAGAGAGAGAGAGACCGTAAGAGGGAGAGAGCAAAACACATTTCTCATTTTCATATATTCTAACCCTAAAACATAAGGGGTATTATATACAATACAATAAAGGCTTAATTACATAACAGCCACAAACCCTATATCTAATTACCATAAGACCCCAGCCTAAATACATATATACATATAAGTGTTTCAACAGTAACAATGCGAGGCATGTAACTCTTCAAGTTTCAGTAACATTCCGATGGTACTAGGTAACTTCATTATTGAAGAATGATCAATCTCAAGAACTTTCAAACTTTTTAGGTTGCCAATAGTATCAAGTAAATCGCTAAATTTTGCTGCAAATAAGCGCAGCTCAATTAATGATTCCAATTTCCCAATGGAGTCTGGAAGTTCTTTTAATTGTGAACAATACCTTAGTGACAAGTATCGCAATTTCACTAGCGAGCCAATTGAGTCTGGTAGTTGAGTAATACTTGTAAAATCAAATGTGAGGTCTGAAAGAGATTTTAGATGGTTGATAGAGGTAGAAATTTGAGTTAATGACCCACAACAAGTGGCACTAAGAATTTCAAGCTTCTTCATAGCACCTCTACCAATAGGGACTTCTTGTATAGAAGTGCCATCAATGTGCAGCTCTGTTAAACCTTCCACAGAATCAAATTCCAGAGGCAGCCTCTTAAGTTTAGCACAATTCTTCACATTTAAGAAAGCTAGACTCTTGAGACACCCAATTGATGGGTCGATATGAACCAAATTCTCACAATCTTCAAGAATCAATCTTTCTAAAGTTATATATGCAGAGAAGTCAGGAGTTCTAACCATGTAACCGCAACCTGTGAGATTTAGGACTTTCAACTTTCTTGCAATCTGCGAAATAAGGAAAAAAAGAATTGTGTAAATTTTATTACAGAGAATTATATGATGAGACACACGAAACAAAAGCAGAGAAATTGATGAAACCTTGATATGATTCCAACCCTCCCAGGCTTCTGTGACCTTGCTCCATGATAAATCAATAATGACCAGATCCTTTAGATGAAAATTGGTTGGTCTAAAAATGGGAGGGCATGCATTCCAACGAAGCCATCTTAACTTTAAAAGAAGGCACTTAAAATCTCTATCCAGGTTTGCATAGTCCATTTGAAGGAACCTTAGATTAGATAGGCCTGCAAATTCTTCATTTGTAAGAGGGGATGCTTGTGTCTCTAGTCCAAAGTCAAAACACTTTAACCTTTTTTGTTCCCTGTCGAAAGAGAACCTTTAGATCAGTAAAAAACATACTAATGTTAAGATTATAATAGTGTCCCAAAAAACTAGTATTAATGATGATTTACACTCTCTCTGAGGAAATTCCAGTTATTATTTCAACTTTCAAGTAGTTCATACATAATTGAGTTAGTAAGGTAACAAGAAAATTAGTGCTTAATAAGGGACATCCATTCATGAAGAAGTTGGATCTTACAATATGAGTCTCCAATATGTCAAAGGCTTCATCATGCAACCACACCCTACTACGCTCCCCCGACTCCTTGAAATTTTCTTGACGGACAATATCCCTGCCAATGTCTCTAAGCTGATCATGCATCCTTAGCTCATTGTTGTCTCCAATTTTCACCAGGGACATGAGAAGAAGAACTTCAATTCCATTTTCCGGATAAAATTCGCAGGCATCCTACATGTGGAAAGCAATTCTTTTATCCACTCCAATGAAAAGGCATGCAATATCGAGAAATATCAGTTGTTGTTCATATTCTAATGCATCGTAACTTATTTTCAACTTCTTTTGGACTTGTCCATCCGGTATTCTCTTCAACTTCTTCAATGTCTCATTCCACACCGCTTTACTCTTGCTAGATAAAAAAGAACCAATAATCTCAAGAGCCAAAGGCAACCCTCCAGTTGTGGATGCAACATCTCTAGAGAGAGTATTATAGTCTTCTGGGGGGTGGTCCCTTCTAAAAGCATGCATGCTGAAAAGTTGAAGAGATTGATTAGAATCTAATTCCTTTGGTTCATAAGTCCAATCTACCTCAGGGATATTTAGAATCTCTTTGTTTCTAGTAGTGACAATTATCCTAGTTCCTGAACCAAACCAATCACACTTTCCCACAAGTGCATGAAGTTGAATTTTTTGATCAACATCATCAACAACAACAGGAACTTTCTTCCCAGAAAATCTATCTTTGATTACATTAATTCCTTCGTCCATAGTAGTAATGTCAGCGCATCTCCGTTTTAAAATGGTAGATATAAGTTGATTCTGCAAATTAACAAGACTATTGTGTTGCTGTGCTGTTTCTCTAACATCCGCGAGGAAGCAACAGAATTCAAAATGTTGGGAGAGTTTGTTGTAGATGACCTTGGCTATGGTGGTCTTGCCTATTCCTCCCATGCCATGGATTCCCACAAACCTTACATCACTGGAATGAACACTCAACAATCTCATCATTTCTTCAACATGATTATCAATTCCAACTAAGTATTCACTTACAACCAGTGAGTTCCTTTTCAGTTCTCCCCATACCTTTGAAACAACCATCTTTATCAGTCTCCCTTGATGCCTGCCAAATATATGAGGGAAAAAATGATAGAAAGAAGTTTGAAAAATCATTTGATTGACAATTTTCTGAAAACTTTTGTCTGTAAATTAAGTAAAACTAGTGCCTAATTTCAGAGAACTAAACCAAACAAGTTTGTAGTTGGTGATAATAAGGAAAATATACATGTTAAAGGGAAAATAATCAGAAAAGTTAAAATAGCATAAACAATATATACAAGTAAATGTACACAATTACCCATTAGCAACTTTGCTCACTTCCCATCCCTTCAATTCTCCAACCTCCCTCAATGCCTCCCTCCACCCCTCTACAGTAGCACCATCAAAATGCTTCTTGTGTTCCTGGAATGCCTTTCCATAACTCCCCGTCTGCTTTCGCACATCGGACGGTTCGACATCATAGAAAATGGGTAATATGATTTGCCCCAAAGTCCTCCTACACTCAACAATCTTGGTGAGCTCAAGCAGACACCACTTACTTGAAGCATAGTCTTTGGAAAACACTGGAATAGATATCTTGGAGTGTTGTATTGCCTTGAGAAGCTCAGGACCTATCTTCTCTCCAATGCGAAGCTCATCGTTGTCTCTAAACGTGCGAATTCCTACATCCACAAGGTCGCTGTAGAGGTAGTCAGTGAAGTTTCTATGAGTGTCTTCGCCTCTGAAGCTCAAGAACACTTCGTAGTCCCACCTTACAGGTGAAGAGGTGGGCAATGAAGAAGTGTTCGAAGGTTCTAATGAAGTAGTGTTTAAGGGTGAGGGTGATACTGAAGTGTTGTTGATCTTCTTCTTGACGAAAACAAGAAAGGGTATGATAATTGCAGCAAGTGTGATGAGACAAGATACCTATAACCAATTCTCTGTATCCATTTCAAATGCAGTGAAAGGAGAGGCTTATGCAGTGATGAGTTCTTGTTAAGTTTCAGTGGAGATTGAAGAAATGAATCCTTCAATTTCTTAATTTCCACACCTAAACCAAAAGCCACAAGCAAAAGGATTAGAACCTAAGCCAATTGACCTCCCAATCCACCTCCCAATCCATCCATTAAAGTTTGGTGCTGTCCAGCTGGTATCGAAGGTTAGAAAGGTAGGACCCACTAACATGTGCTTTCTTTAGGTGCTTGGAGGCCTAGAAGTGTACGTTCTAGTCCATGCATTAGAGATTGTGTATAAAAAAATTTTGAATTATTTATTTTTACTTTCAATAATTATTTTATATATATTTTTTTGTGTAAAAATATATCCTTAATAATAATTAATGAGTGTCATATTTAGATTCCACATAATTTTTACAAATCAGTTGATTTATTAATGAAATGAGGAAGAGGGAGGCAAAATGAAATATGCTGATGTACCTGTGTAAAAAAATTGTGTAAAATACAGAACAATTTTACACATTTATATATCTTTCTGTGGAGCCTGGAGGACCCTTCCCATGGAAGTCTGTTTGGCATTCTAAGGCTTCTCTCAAAGTGGCCTTCTTTACTTGGACTTCTGTGTTGGGTAAAATTTTAACCCAGAATAATTTGAGAATAAAAAATTAGGTGGTGGTCAATCGGTGCTACATGTGTCTTAGGGACGAGGAGATAGTGGACCATCTTCTTTTGCATTGCCCCATGGCCAAGGATTGTTGAGATTTGATGCTTGGCTTGTTTGGGTTCCAATGGGTCATGCATCACTCCGCCAGAGAGTTGGTCGAGGCTTGGAGAGGATGTTTTGTGGGGGGCACGTTCGTGATGCTTGGAGGGTTACTCCTCATTGTGTTTGGTGGTGTATTTGACTTGAAAGGAATATGAAATATTTTGAGGGGAATGAGAGGCCTATTTTTTTTCTTTTAAGTTCTCTATTATTTTCATTGTTTTTTGTTAGGTATCAGAAAGAGATTATAAATCTTTAGATAAAATAGTTGATTTTTTGGCCTCTTGCGATCCCCTTTTGAGCACTTTTTATAAATTTTTTATTAAAAAAAAAAAAAATACTATTGAAGATAAAAAAATTATATATTGTACGTTTTTTTATACAAAAGAGTGTTTTAAGTTTCAGTGGACATTGAAAAAAATGAATCCTTCACTTTCTTAATTTTCACACCTAAACCAAAAGGCACAAGCAAAGGATCATATTCCTGCAACCTAACCCTCTCGACCTCCCAATCCATCTCATTAAAGTCTGGTGCTTTCCAGCTAGTATCAAAGGTTAGGAGGACCCACTACCATCTGCTTTCAATTCTGATCTTTTGCAGTTCCTTTCAAGACGTTGTTGCTCATTCTGTAGGCCAACGTCCTATCAATTAATGCACAAGTTAAAAGTGATAAATTATTAGATAGTTTGAAGTCTCGACCAATCACAAGTTATCACACAATTAAATGTGACAACTTGTGAGTTATGACTTTGACCTAGTCCATAAATGTAAAATCAATTTCAAATTGGAGAAGTATGATTTCTAAATAGGATATCCCCATTGTTTTTTTTACCCTTTTTCTCAGGTTGTCATATTTTCTTGTCAAATAATTATCATTATTTGAATAGAATTAGAGATATTGGATAATTAATGACTCATATAATAGTTTTGATTTTCCCTTAAAAACATTTTTAAAAGTCAAAAACGAAAAAAAAAATTCAAAATATGTTTATATTTTTAGAATCTTTGCCAAACATCAGAAAATAAAAACATTTTACATGAAAAAAAAAACATTACTTTTTGTTTCGACATATTTTCATGTTTTAGGTAAAAAAAAAAATTATTTATACTATTTGATAATTGGTAAAGATCTATGTCGAGGTTGAGATCAAGTCCTTCCGACAGGACGTATAAAATAACTTACCAAATGATAAATTATTTTTGTAAAATTTTAATATATTTTTTCTTCGTAAATATTTTACGATAACCAAACACCAGAAAATAAAAAAAATATTTTCTGAAAAATATTTTATATCCAAACAAATAGAGCCTACATGTGTCCCGCCCAATGAATTCGACTTCAACCTTGACACAGACTTTTGCCAAACACCAACAAAATAAAAATAAAAAAATATTTTATCTGAAAAAAAATATTTTTTAAAAAGAATATTTTACATCGAAACAAACCGAGCCATGAAGTGAAATATTTTAATGCTAGGCTATCACACTCAACAAGAAACTCAATCTCCCATCTCCATTGAATTTCCCAGCCGGACTTGTATCTCCCATCAAATCATGCATACCTGTATATCAAGATTAAATATATGCAATAATAAACAAGAGGGAGGAACTCAAAAATAAAGACTACTATCATTTTTTAATAATCAATAAATTTAAAGGGATCAAGAAACGATGACATTTCATTTCTTCAAACGTGGTTAGGAGGTTGGGGAAAGTATTAGTGCAAATTTCTTTGCCATGTGGCATTACTTACCATGAATGTGACTCTGTTCTCAAACTACAAAAGCAACAATTATTACAAGATCAATGAGGGTTGACTTGCTATTTATTTGATTCAAAACTGCACAAAATCTACGAAAACAAAATGCAGGCTTAGGAACTTCAACTTTTATCTACCTCATGATACTTGATTTCAATGGTAAATTGCCATTGATATAAGGACTCGACCCCTATACAAAAAAATCAAGCATTTCCTACGGACTACTAATTTTGGATTCAAACAATTTTTAACAATGAAACGAATAGTATGCAAATATTTCGATCCCTTTCAAGCTTTGAAGTTTGTTCTATAACACAAGATTTCAAACTCTTAACTAAGAAACCAAGTTAAATCATAAAATAATCAATTAACCGTTCTATTGCGAAGGCATTAGATTACCTAGAGCAAAGATTGTCTCTGACTTCATAGACTGATTGAATGCATGAAATTGAGTCATAACAGATAACATCCACAGGAATTACGAAACGATGTTCCATTCACTTCAAACTGAGCTTTAGTCTCGAAATAATCTCAAAGTGGAAGAGATCTACAGAAAGGTGAACACACACACACACTAACACCCCCCCCCCCCCCCCCCCCCCCCCCGGCGAGCAGTACCATAGCTTAACTTCCCTGATATTCAAAATGTCTTCAAGTCCCCAAATTTCACTTAGTTTCTCAGAGTTACGAAGCTGCAATACCTCAAAATTTGTTAGTCTCTACAGATCAGGTATCCTCTACAAGGCTGTGCACGATGATAAGTCCACAGCAACTTCAAGGATTTCAAAGCCTCAAGATCCTCATTCTCATGTAGCTTCTGGCATTGGGAGAGATTTAATTCTTCCACCATGTTTCAACTTTCTTGCAAACTACAAAATAACTAACATGCATGGATGTTCCATCAATAACCTGAAAAAGGGAACAGGGAAAGAAATCACAATTAATAATCAGTTAAGGAAAAGAACCACCATAGAAAGACAACATGGATTACCAGAAAATAGATAATTACCATGCCATCAGGTTGCATGTTAAACACTAAAATCTGATATCCTGCAATTTTTCTCTCAACGATAGAATCTAAATAAGGAATTGCATCCAGAAATCTCACCAAGTTTCTCATATCTACAGAAAGGTGAACACACACACTAACAGATGACCCCCCCCCCCCCCCCCCCCCCCAAGCAGAAAATAGATATTTACCATAGCTAAACTTCTCTGATATTCAAAATGTCTTCAAGTCCTCAAATCTCACTTAGTTTCTCATATTTACGAAGGTGCAATACCTCAAAAACCTGTTAGACTCTACAGATCAGGTATCCTCTACAAGGCCGTGCACAATGACAAGTCCAGCAACTTCAAGGATTTCAAAGCCTCAAGACCCTCATTCTCATGTAGCTTCTGGCATTGGGAGAGATTTAATTCTTCCACCATGTTTCAACTTTCTTGCAAATTGCAAAATAAAGAAAAAGAGAATTGCTTAGAATCAAGACACGCAAAACAAAAGCAGAGAAATTGATGAAACCTTCGTATGATTCCAAAACAACCATATAGTTCTGCAATGATAACTGGCATGCATGGATATTCCATCAATAGCCTGAAAAAAGGAACAGGGAAAGAAATCGCAATTAATAATCAGTTAAGGAAAAAAACCACCATAGAAAGACAACATGGATTACCAGAAAATAGATAATTTCCATGCCATCAGGTTGCATGTTAAACACTAAAAATCTGATATCCTGCAATTTTTCTCTCAACGATAGAATCTAAATAAGGAATTGCATCCAGAAATCTCACCAAGTTTCTCACACCCACCAAGATCCAATACATCTAAATCTGTTAGGCTTGACAGATCAGGTATCCTCTCCAAGGCTGTGCACCACGTCAAGTACACCCTGTTCAAGGATTTCAAAGCCTCAAGACCCTCAATTTCACGTAGCTTCTGGCATTGGGAGAGTTTTAGTTCTTTCAGCATTTCTAACCTTGATAGATCAGGCAATCTTTCCAAGGATTTGCACTCACTCATATTCAAATATTCCAAGGACTCCAATCTGTCAAGGCCCCTAATTTCATTCAGATTCTTGCATTCCGAAGTATCTATTTTCCTCAACTTCTTTAAGTTGGAAAGATCTGGTAATGTTTCTAGTGATTCGCGTCCATATAAATCCAAATCTATTAGGAGTTCTAATCTTCCAAGGCCTTGAATGTCTATTAACTCTAAACACCGCCAAATCTTTAGTTCTGACAAGTTTTTCAAATTTGACAGATCTGGCAACCTGTTCATTGACGAGCAATGTCTAAGATGTAGTATGATTAGACTTGAGGGAAGAGTTGGAAGGCATTGAATTTGTTCACAATCTATAATAGTGAGTTCCTTAAGCCGAGAAAGGGCACCAAGCTCCATTGGCAGGCTGCTAATGTTAATATCGTCTAAGGTCAAGGTCTCCAGTTTGGCTAACTTCACAATATCTTTAGGAATTTTCAACAGCTTAGGCCAGTAAAAAAGGAGCAACACCTTTAGGTTTATCAGGCTAGGAAGGTTTAGAAATGTCTCCATTGGCTTGCAAGTGACTCGTAAACTCACTAGACTAGAGGGAAGCTCTGGCAGAAACTGAAGCTTTTTGCAACCCTGTAATTCAAGGGTTTGGAGGTGAGGAAGCCCACAAATGCTTGTTGGAAGACTACGGATATCTGTCCAATCTAGTCTTAGGATTCTCAGAGAGGACCGTTTCTCAATGTTACTGGGAATTACACCCAAATTGGAACAATTCGAGGCATCTAACTCTTCAAGTTTCAGTAACATTCCGATGGCACTAGGTAATTTCACTATCGAAGAACCACTAATGTCAAGAATTCTCAAACATTTTAGGTCGCCAATGGTATCAGGCAATTCTGTAAATTTTGCCCACGAGAACCGCAGCTCAATTAATGATTCTAATTTCCCAATGGAGTCTGGAAGTTGTTTTAAATTTCAGTTCCTTAGTGACAAGCGTTGCAATTTCACTAGCAAACCAATTGAGTTTGGTAGTTCAGTGATACATGAGTTATCATCAAATGATAGGTCCAACAGAGATTCGAGCTGACCGATTGAGTTGGAAATTTGAGTTAGTGACCCACAATGATTGGCACTAAGAGTTTTAAGCTTCTTCATAGCACCTTTACCAATAGAATCAAATTCCAGAGGCAGATTTTGGACTAGAAAACAATAATTCACATTTAAGAAAACTAGACTCTTGAGATACCTAATTGATGGGTCAATATGAACCAAATTCTCACAACCTTTAAGAATCAACCTTTCTAAAGTTGCATATGCCGAGAAGTCAGGAGTTCTAACCATGTACTTGCAACTCGTGAGATTTAGAACTTTCAACTTTCTTGCACTCTGCAAAATAAGGAAAAAGAGAATTGCTTAGAATCAATTACAAAGAATTTTGTGATGAGACACACGAAAGAAAAGCACAGAAATTGATCAAACCTTGATATAATTCCAACCCTCCCAGGCTTCTGTGACCTTGCTCCATGATAAATCAAGAATGACCAGATTCTTTAGATGAAAATTGGTTGGTCTAACAATTTGAGGGCATCCATTCCAGCAAAGCCATCTTAACTTTGAAAGAAGACCCTTAAAATCTCCATCCAGGTTTGCATAGTCCATTTGAAGGAACCTTAGATTAGATAGGTCTACAAATTCTTCATTTGTAAGCCATCTTAACTTTGCCTATGACTCTGCTTGAAAGTTAACACAAATAGCTTCAACCTTTCTTGTTCCTTGCCAAAAGAGAATCTTTAGATAAGTAAAAAATATACAAAGGCTACAACTATGGTGGACACAAAAACTAGTATTAATCATGATTTACATTCTCTCTGAGGAAATTCCAGTTATTATTTCAACTTTAAAGTAGTTCATACATAATTGAGTTAGTAATGTGACAAGAAAATTAATGCTTAATTAAGGACATCCATTCATGAAGAAGTTGGATCTTACTGTATGAGTCTCCAATATGTCGAAGGCTTCATCATGCAACCACACCCTATTACGCTCCCCTGGCTCCTTGAAATTTTCTTGATAGACAATATCCCTGTCAATGTCTCTAAGCTGATCGTGCATCCTTAGCTCATTGTTGTCCCCAGTTTTCACCAGGGACATGAGAAGAAGAACTTCAATTCCATTTTCTGAATAAAATTCGCAGGCATCCCACAAATGGAAAGCAATTCTTTTATCCAGTCCAATGGAAAGACATGCAATATCGAGAAATATCTATTTTTGTTCATATTCTAATGCATCGTAACTTTGATCAGTTGGTCAATTATACATCAACCTTCGCAATAGCACGAATCATTGTAAAATATGGCTATTGGTCGGGTAAGTCGAACCACTGGGACTGCGCTAGTCTATGGCAACCTAAGAGTCTAGAATCGTTTTAGAGTGATAAGGTGTAATAAGGAGGGTTTGTTTGGTTTGTTACTAGAATTAGAATTAAAGTGCATAAAATAGTAAATGAAAGGAAATTAAAGGAGAGTATGGGAACGGCTAGGGAATTGACTTCACCACAAGCCATATAAACATGCCTAATTGCAATTAACTTGGGGAACAAAGTATATATGCAACCATGATATGTAGAAATGCAAGACAACTACAATATCTTCAAGAAGTTCACACATTCAAGAATTAAGTATAATCCATCCAAGGTTGGCATAAGTCATCTATCTAAACTAGGGTATAGAATGAAGTATCCTTCCTAAGCTATGAACAATCAAAGTCCTCAATTTGTGTGGTAAGTGCACATGAAGTCAAGAACTAAGTCATAATCCATCAAAGGTTTCCCTAAGCCATGGACTATCAAATTTCTTAAATAACATGCCATTAAAACCATTGTATAATCTCATCTTCATTCTCACTATAAAGATGTAAGTAGCATAATCATGAAGAAACAATTTCTAAGACAAGAAAAGAGTCTCTACAAGATTAAATATGGAATGAAACACAAATACATCAAAGTGTATCTCTAGATTGAACAACTTGTTATATAAATGCAAAGTTTCCCAAATATAAACACAATTAATACATAGTTACTTGACAAAGGTTACATTAACTCCCTAGGAAGAGGTTTAGTTACCCATGGTGGCCCTAGATGAAGGAAGAAGCAAGGCTTTCCCCTCCATTTTCGAGCTCCCTTGTTGAAGCTTCAAGAACCCCTCTTCTTTGCTCTCTTCTCTCTCCTCTATCTTGTAAAATGCGGATCTCATGAAATGTGTGGCTTCCCTTCTTTATCTAGATATCTTATCCACCCAAAAACCCCTCTCTCTCCTCCAAGAAACATTCACAACCAACTCATAAAAGAGGGCATCCAAAGTGGTTAAAATCTGAGCACAAGTGGGCTGAGTTGTGTAGAATTCTGCCCTAATTTCGAGTGCTCGAGATAGGGCCTCGAGCACTCAAAAATTGGGCAGAATGCCCTATGTTTGGTTTGTTCCGCCTGGACCTACTTTGGTAAAACAGCCATAACTTTGCGTTCCGAACTCTGAATGATGAACCGTTTGAAGATTTAGAAAGCTAATTCAGATCTCTAAAAACTTTATGTTTGGGTGGAGATCCAATTCTCAAGTTTGGTTGGTCGAAATTGAAGAGCAAGGCAGAAATTCATTGCTGCCAGGCAGTTCTGAGCACCTCTGATAAAAAGATCATAACTCTCTGCTCTGAACTCCGAATGAGGAACCGTTTGAAGATTTCGAAAGATGATTTAGAGCTCTAAATATGTCATGTTATGATGGAGGTCCAGTTCTTTATTTTACTAGGTCAAAAATGGTGACAAAATTCAGGTTCCACTGCTGCCAGAATTTCAGTCTTGTGACCTTTGATGTTCAAAACTCTACAAAGCCTTAATTTTGCTCCTTTTTTGGCAAATGGACCTGAAAATATATACATACACACAAATGAAGATAATCTACTTAAATAATCAAACGATGGACTTAACTAATGCAATTTAGGGCGCTTGAATATACAATATTCGGCGCTTATCACATCCCCAAACTTACATTTTGCTAGTCCCTTAGCAAAACCAAAATGGAAAACTCAATGGAATAACAACCATGGGAATGCTACTACAAAAATATTATCCATGGTAAAATGAAGTAAATACATAGCTCAAATACAACTTGAAACAATAAGAACTGGAGATGGGGTCAGTAGGAAGACTACCTTACATATATGAAGCATTGATACAAAAATTGGCTAAATACATTTCCACATACATGCATCAACAACAAACTCTATATAAATAACTCAATTATCATCTCTTGAATGGAAATCAACTCTAGCTTCAGTGAAAGTGAATTGGATTCTCAACATGCGGCTTTTACTTTCTTTTCCAATTCCAAGGCACAAGTTTTCAAATCATTGACTTCCCTTTTAAATGAAGTCCCTAAGGCATGAATTTATTACAGAACAAAGCTGACAATTTATTGTAACTCAGAAGTGAAATACAGAATGGTTGTGCAATGCTGAAATTCTTTAAGCTTTCTAACCAACCTATGTAGCAAGTGTTAGGCCAGCAACTCCCAAACTAGATGGCTTTAGGGTGCTAAGTGTAAAGACACTCCTAGGGCTTAATAACTCGAGTCAGCAAGGCTACGAACTCCAACGAACCATATTTATTTATTTTTATTTCGTGAATGACTGTGCAATGCCTAAGTCCTTTAAGCTTTCTAACTTACCCATGTAGCAAGTGTTAGGCCAGCAATTCCCAAACCAGATGGCTTTAGGGTGCTAAGTGTAAAGATACTCCTAGGACTTAATAACTCGAGTCAGCAAGGTTACGAACTTAAACTAGTCATTATCATTATTCAACCATTTTTTTTTTTTTTTTTTTTTTTTTTTTTTTTTTTTTTAGTTCATGCCAAAGATATCCATTCATTAGGGTCATCAATTCAAATCAACTAAGTCATGGTCAAGGTACATCGGGTTGCATGCCTCACAATTAAGTTTCCGGTGTGCATATGTGATGGAAGAGAGTGATACTTGAAGATAATCTAATTGAAGAATTTATACAAACCTTTTTGAATCCATATGTTCATTTCAGATTTTTCTCAATTCAAAACTATCATTTACCTCTATACACAAAGTATTCAACACATGCTTTAATCTCCAACAAATTCCAAAATTCCAAAATCATTGCTTCCATTTTTTTTTAAATTTTCAGTTTTATACAAATCTATTTGAACAAAATAGCAAATGCAAACCCTTTACAATATACAATACCATACACTATACCCCCAAACTTGAATGGCACATTGTCCTTAATGTGTGAAGACAAAGATACAGAAATAAAGAGCATAGAAGGTAAAAGGAACAATAATACCAAGTGGAGTGACGAAGACAAAAGATGTCCATCTATGTGAATGCGCAAGAGCGTCCCCCAAATTTGGACAGGAAGACCTGTCAAAACAGAACTAATGTACATAGGTGAAAGCATAGGTCTCGTAAGAAAAATCAAAACATAAATAATAATACAAACATGAATGTTAATGAAAGATAGAAATCTATACAAATTCTTTTTTTTATTTATTTTTATTATCATTTTTTTTATTTAGTATAGTTATTATTGTTATTATTTTATTTATTTATTTATTTTATAATATTATTATTATTATATATATATAGTATTATGTTTTTTTTTTTTTTTTTTTTTTGAACTTACATGCCAAAGGTGGGGGGGGTGGTGCATGCTTGCATGCAAGGTGGGGTGAGATGAGGGTGGTTGGGTGGAGGGGTTGCCGAGAGGTGGGGTGGGTGTTGGAGTAGGTTGGTTGAGATGAGGGTGAGAGGTGGTTGCATGGTGGAGAGGTGGAGAGAAGGTGAGTTGGTTTGGTTTAAGTTGCCGAGAGTGAGGGAGAAAGGTGGTTGCATGGTGGCTGATTGGTGGAGGTTTGGGAGGTTAAAGGTGGTTGAGGGGTGAATGGTGGTGGGTTTGTGGGTTGATGAGAGTTGGGTGGTTTGTTTTCGGTTGTGAGGTGGAGAGATGCCGGGAGCTAAGTTGTGGTGTGTAGTGGTATGTTTGTGGTTGATGCTGCATGCTTGAAAGGGTGGCATGGTTTGGTGACGTGAGTTGGGGTGGGGTTGGTTTGGTGCATGGTATAGATGGTTGGGTGGTGAGGAAGGTGCTGAGAGAGAAATAGTTAGGTTGTTTGGTGGAAACCGAGAGGTGGGCATGCATGAGGTTGAGTGGGTGTTGGGGTGATAGAGTGATGATGTTGGAAGGTTGGGGTTGAGGGAAATGAGGGAGGTAGAGTGGGAATGCCGAGAGTGAGAAGGTGAGGGTTGGGGTGGGTTGATGGAGGTGAGGGGTGGTGGTGGGTGTAGTTGCCGAGAGAGAGAAGGTGAGGTCTGGGTTGGGTGTCGAGCATGCTCGAGCACTCGAAATGCCTTCTTCGAGTGCTCGAGAAACCGGCAGAGAGTGAGGGATGGATGCAGGGGATGGTCGAGCACTCCAAAGGGGCAGGTATGGTTGGTTGCATGGGTAGCTTGGGTTGAGAGAGAGAGAAAGTTGGTTGAAGGTGAGGGTTGGGTGGTTTGTGGTTGATGGGTGTTGGGAAGCCGAGAGTGGTTGGTGGTTTGTGAGGTTGGACGGTTGTGGGTTTGTGGGTTGATGAGAGAGAGGCCGAGAAAGTTGGGTGGGGTGGTGAAGTTGCTGGGTGGTGTGGCTTGGGTTGTGAGGGATGGTTGGTTATGGAGTGGCCGAGTGATGAGGTTGGTTGTGAGGTTGGTTTGGTTTTGTTGGGTTTGGATGGTTCAGGCAAGATGCCGAGAGGGTGATGTTTGGTGCATGGTGTGTGAGGTTTGCTTGGGTGAGGGGTTGCTGAGAGGAGAGGTTTGCATGGGTTGGGAGATGTGTGTGATGGTAGGTGATTGCATGGTTGGATGCCGAGAGGAAGGGGGTGTGAGGTTGGTTGGTGTGATGCTGTGCATGGCTGTGGAGGTTGAAGGGTGTGGGTGGAGGGAAGGTGGGTTCGGTTGATGGTTAGCATGGTGATTGTTTGGGTTGAGAGAGAGAGAGAGATGGTTGCATGGTGGTTGTGGAATGCATAGGATAGGTGCCGAGAGGAAGGGGGTATGAGGTTGGTTGGTGTGATGCTGTGCATGGCTGTGGAGGTTGAAGGGTGTGGGTGGAGGGAAGGTGGTTGATGGGCTGATGGGGGTGATTTGTGAGAGATAAGGGAAGGTTGGTGTATAAGGTGCATGGTGTTGAGGTTGGTTTGGGATTTCGAGCACTCGAAATATGGCTTCGAGTGCTCCAAAAACAAACAGAAGTCTCAGAATTGTGTTGTGGAAGTTTCGAGCATGCTGAAATTTTTGGTTGGAGGCTCGAGCACTCGAAATGGGAATTCGAGTACTCGAGATGAGGATAGTAGCTTAGGATGAGATTGGTTCACATTTCGAGCACTCTAAAATGGAATTAGAGTGCTCGAAATATAAGCAGCAGCCTCGGAATGATGGTGAAGAAGTTTGGAGCAATCCAAATGGTAGCTAGAGGGCTCGAAATGAAGGCAGTAGGTTCAGAAATTGTGGTTAAAGCCTTCGAGCACTCGGCAGTGAGCATTGAGGTTGAGAGATGAAATATTTTTTTTTTTTTTTTTTTTTGCATGCATTGTAACATTATGCAGTGAGGTTGAGAGATGAACCTTGCATGTCATTCCATTAGGTGCTTCATTCTTATGTATTGTGAATGTATACATGATCAACTGAGAGATGAAGAATTGATAAAACCTTGCAACATGCTTCCAAATCAATGCATGGATGGATTATTTTCACCTTGCATGCATGGATAGAAAGTGAAACTTGGCATGGGAAAATCTGTGAAGGTGGCAACAGCTTTCCAATCCAATGCATGGAAAATTATGAAACTTTGCATATTAATCCATCTAACACATGGAAAAAATTTTAAACTAGTCAACCTCATTCCAATGCATGAATGGAATTTCTGGAGAAATTTTCAAACTTTTCAACCTCATTCCAATGCATGGATGATTTTTAGAAAAATTTTGAAAACTTTTCAACTAATTTCTAATGCATGGGAAATTCTCAAACTTTGCAATTTCAATCCATTCTAATGCAAAGAGGGAAAATTGTCAAACTCTACACTTCATTACAATGCATGGAAAATTTAGATTTTTTTTTTTTTCAAACTGTGCAATTTTTCTCTAATGAATGCATGGATGATTTCAAGAAGATTTCCAAACTTTTGCAACCTCACACAATGCATGGATGATTTTGAGAAAATTTTCAAGCTTTGGAACATCTCTTCAATGCATGGATGAGATTAGGGGAAATTTTCAACAATGCATTAAAAATGAGAAGATATGCACATGAGAAGCATTCCCAAGATCCGATAAAATTGCTAGGAAGCGATGAAAATTTTCGGGAATGAAAATTAGAATTAAGAAGGTCTAAGAAGCCATGCTAAAATTGTGGAACACAATTGAAGAGCTTACCAGAAAAATCGAACTTTTGGCTTTTCTAAACCGTTTCCCAGAAAATTTCAAGGCACGAGCAATTAAAGACAAGGGAAGCATGGAAATTGGAAGAATTGCTTCCCATGAGTGCTAAATTTAACGTCGATAGCTAGACACACTGAGATCAGGTTAGTCCTCCTTACCCTATACCATGTCTCTCTAGAGAGTCATATTTTCCCGAATAGGATAATTCTTTTAAAAGTGGAGGAGGAAGAGCTTGAAGACAAAAGTGGAAAAGAGGTAACGGAAAGACCTCAATCCACTTTTCATCCTCAATGAAGAACTTTGGATTATGGGGCTGTTTTGGATTATAGGAAGATGGATTAGGTGAGGGTGCACCAAGCAACGACTTATGAAGGGTCATATTGAGCACGGGAATGCTCAACAAGTTATCCTTCAGACTTTCAACATCCTCCTCACACTTATCCGGCGGTTCGGGCTCAATAGCTTGAGATAACTCAGGAGAAGGAATGAGAGGAGGTGCAAGCTCCCAAGAGAGAGATACATTTGATGTTGCCCAAGGAAGAGAATAAATTGGTAGATGAATATTAAGCAAAGAATTTACCTCCCAAATGGAATTGTCAACATCAAAATCCTCACAATTGAAATGAGCCAAACAAGCTTTTAGAGGATCCTCCATTGAAGGAGGTGCATTAAGCAAAGGATTATTTAGGGGTTGTTCTGGAGTTTTAAAGGACGCAATCTCATCATCATTATTTTTCTCATTTTTAACCACAAATTCTTCTATTTTTTGTGTGGCAACAATTTGATCTTCAACCACAATTTCTTCATTTTCACACGTGGTAACCATTTGATCATTCTCATGATGAAAGTTACTAGGAGTAATCTCATCATTCATAGAATTTTCTTTTGGATTGGCCATAAATTCAAATGAAAATGCTTCCTCCTCTTCATGATTTTTAGCATTAATCCTTTGTTGAATTTGAGATATTTGGTCATCTATCATTGCATTAACTTGGGACTGGTGGTATGGTACCACTTGATTGATAGACTCTAGTGTGGATTGCATGCTAGCAAGGGAAGCCAATAGTTGATTGTTGGAGTCCATCATGGACTCTATCATTTCTTTGTTGTTATTGGCAATCACTTCTTCAAATTGAGAGGGTGTATGAAATGAGGGCTGGAAATAATGATCATGGGGCTGAAAATTGGCTTGAAAATGTTGCCCATGAGATTGTGGGGCTGAATTTTCCATATCATGGCACAAGAAGTTTTGGTGATCTCCCCAACCCGAGTCATAACCATTGGATTATGGATCATTAACCGGTTCAAAGAAATTTTCATTTGGTTGCTCTAGATAAAAGTCCGAGAATTGTCTCGTTGGAAGACATTCTCTTGTATGATGTGTATGACTAGAGCAAAATGCACAAAACTCGTGTGGTATGTAGAATTGAGTTGGGAGATAATTATTCTCCATCTAGGAGTACTTCAACAACACACAAAGCAATCAACACAACACTTTATCACCATAGCCTTCACATATGATATTCCATTTCTCCTCAATTATCAAGACAAAAATTAAATTGGCCACGACAAGGACCGATGCTTGGAATTGAAAATACACAATAAAGATTAGCCTCAACAAGGGCTTGCAATTTATCTACTTCTAAGCTTAACACATGCACGATATTCACAATTCGAAACTAGAAGCCACGAGACTTACCTGGGGTCCTCTAGACTTACAATTTGCTAGCATTCCCACGGCGAGCTTCGAGTCCCTAGAATCTTACAACACGAAGATGATCAAAACACACAAGGAATATTCACAAGACACAATATTCACAATCAAACTAAAATTAACCCTAGAACTTTGGTGGCTAAACCATATGCAAGTCCCCGGCAACGGCGCCAAAAATTGATCATTTGGTCAATTATACATCAACCTTCGCAATAGCACAAATCATTGTAAAATAGGGTTATTGGTTGGGTAAGTTGAACCACTGGGACTGCGCTAGTCTATGGCAACCTAAGAGTCTAGAATCGTTTTAGAGTGATAAGGTGTAATAAGGAGGGTTTGTTTGGTTTGTTACTAGAATTAGAATTAAAGTGCATAAAATAGTAAATGAAAGGAAATTAAAGGAGAGTATGGGAACGGCTAGGGAATTGACTTCACCACAAGCCATATAAACATGCCTAATTGCAATTAACTTGGGGAACAAAGTATATATGCAACCATGATATGTAGAAATGCAAGACAACTACAATATCTTCAAGAAGTTCACACATTCAAGAATTAAGTATAATCCATCCAAGGTTGGCATAAGTCATCTATCTAAACTAGGGTATAGAATGAAGTATCCTTCCTAAGCTATGAACAACCAAAGTCCTCAATTTGTGTGGTAAGTGCACATGAAGTCAAGAACTAAGTCATAATCCATCAAAGGTTTCCTTAAGCCATGGACTATCAAATTTCTTAAACAACATGCCATTAAAACCATTGTATAATCTCATCTTCATTCTCACTATAAAAATGTAAGTAGCATAATCATGAAGAAACAATTTCTAAGACAAGAAAAGAGTCTCTACAAGATTAAATATGGAATGAAACACAAATACATCTAAGTGTATCTCTAGATTGAACAACTTGTTACATAAATGCAAAGTTTCCAAAATATAAACATAATTAATACATAGTTACTTGACAAAGGTTACATCAACTCCCTAGGAAGAGGTTTAGTTACCTATGGTGGCCCTAGATGAAGGAAGAAGCAAGGCTTTCCCCTTCATTTTCGAGCTCCCTTGTTGAAGCTTCAAGAACCCCTCTTCTTTGCTCTCTTCTCTCTCCTCTATCTTGTAAAATGTGGATCTCATGAAATGTGTGGCTTCCCTTCTTTATCTAGATATCTTATCCACCCAAAAATCCCTCTCTCTCCTCCAAGAAACATTCCCAACCAACTCATAAAAGAGGGCATCCAAAGTGGTTAAAATATGAGCACAAGTGGGCTGAGTCATGTAGAATTCTGCCCTAATTTCGAGTGCTCGAGATAGGGCCTCGAGCACTCAAAAATTGGGCAGAATGCCCTATGCTTGGTTTGCTCTGCCCGGATCTACTTTGGTAAAATAGTCATAAATTTGCGTTCTGAACTCCAAATGATGAACTGTTTGAATATTTAGAAAGCTAATTCAGATCTCTAAAAACTTCATGTTTTGGTGGAGATCCAATTCTCAAGTCTGGTTAGTCGAAATTGAAGAGCAAGGTAGAAATTCATTTCTACCAGGCAGTTCTGAGCACCTCTGATAAAAAGATCATAACTCTCTGCTATGAACTCCGAATGACAAACCGTTTGAAGATTTGGAAAGATAATTCAGAGCTATATATATGTCCTGTTATGATGGAAGTCCAGTTCTTGAGTTTTCTAGGTCAAAAATGGTGACAAAAGTCAGGTTCCACTGCTGCCAGAATTTCAGCCTTGTGACCTTTGATGTTCAAAACTCCACAAAGCCTTGATTTTGCTCCTTTTTTGGCAAATGGACCTAAAAATATATACATACACACAAATGAAGATAATCTACTTAAATAATCTAACAATGGACTTAATTAATGCAATTTAGGGCGCTTGAATATTCAATATTCGGCGCTTATCAAACTTATTCTCAGCTTCTTCTGGACTTGTCCATCTTGTATTCTCTTCAACTTCTTCAATGTCTCATTCCACACTGCTTTTCTCTTGCCAGATAAAAAAGAACCAATAATCTCAAGAGCCAAAGGCAACCTTCCGGTTGTGGATGCAACATCTCTAGAGAGAGTATCTTAGTCTTCTGGGGTATGGTCCTTTCTAAAAGCATGCATGCTGAAAAGTTGAAGAGATTGATTAGAATCCAATTCCTTCGGTTCATAAGTCCAATCTACCTCAGGGATATTTAAAATCTCTTTGTTTCTAGTTGTGACAATTATCCTACTTCTTGAACCAAACCAATCACACTTTCCCACATGTGCATGAAGTTGAATTCTTTGATCGACATCATCAATGACAACAAGAACTTTCTTCCCAGAAAATCGATCTTCGATTACATTAATTCCTTCATCCATAGTACTAATGTCAGCACATCTCCATTTTAAGATGGTAGATATAAGTTGATTTTGCAAATTAACAAGACCATTGGGTTGTTGTGCTGCTTCTCTAACATCTACAAGGAAGCAACAGATTTCAAAATTCTGTTGGGAGAGTTGGTTGTAGATGACCTTGGCAATAGTGGTCTTGCCAATTCCTCCCATGCCATGGATTTCCACAATCCTTACATCACTAATATTAACACTCAACAATCTCATCATTTCTTCAAGATGATCATCAATTCCAACTAAGCATTCATTATTTACAACCAATGAGTTCCTTTTCAGCTCTCCCCATACCTTTGAAACAACCATCTTTATCAGTCTTCCTTGGTGCCTGCTAAACATAACTGATTTCATATATGTGGGTAAAAATAGATAGAAAGTAGTTTGAAAATCCATTTGATTGACAATTTTCTGAAACTTATGTTTGTAAACTAAGTTAAACTAGTGCCTAATTTCAGGGAACTTGTAATGACCCTGATTAGTGTGTGTGTGTGTGTAGGTGTTAAATGTAAAAGTTAAATTTTTATTAATCATGCGGGACCCACGGTTGACCACACCTTTTATATGAATCACATATACACACATAAGCATTTGTTTTCTCCTCTCATTCTGCCGAACCCATGTTCTCTCTCTAAACTCTCATTCTTTCACTAGATCTTCACTTTTCAAGCTTCGATATCATCAATTTTCACATAGATTTCAACTTTGTCATTAAAGGCAAAGTTGACAAGCTCGACGAAGGGTACGTTTTGATCTGGACCGATCTTTGTTTGGACACCCTTTGGATTTCGGGATTGGGCTGATTTTGTGTTAGCTTTGGGTTTCTTGCTCTTTATTATGAGGTAGAGGTGTCTAAGCCTCATCTTCTTTGGTCTTTGGTGAATTAGCCCCTCTAAATTTCATTATAGCTTGTAACAATTGTAAATTTGATTTATAGTCTTTAAAGTTTGTTTTGTGAAGCATAATGATTTTGTTTTGTGTGATATTATGAGTTGAATTACCTACTTAAATGAAATTATATGAGATTACATGATTAGTGGAAATTGTTATGTGAATTATTTGCCTAAAATAGCATGCTTGTGATGTGAGCTCTAAGAATAAGTGTTATATTAATTATTACCATTAATCATGTAAGTACGTTTAAAGTTTGATACATGAATTTTTATATTAGGGACATTGATATGTTGTATGAAATTTGGTATGGTTATGGCATAAAATGCATGAATTGTACATGCATTTCATTGGGAAAGAAAAAAATGTTTTAAAAATAAATGAAATTGTTTTAGGGAAAAGTTTTTTTTTTTTGAAATGTGTTTGCGAAAATCGGACGTCTAGGAGGCGCCTAGTGGTTCGTGGTATTAGTGTCGTCTAGAAGGGAGTGTGGTTGAGTTAACTAGGCCGGATGCGACGCCTTGGAGGTGCCTTGTGGTAGTGAATAGTTAGCCAATTCTCCTTTCGTGACGCCTTGGAGGTGCCTTGGGTTGGATTATACTAACGGTTTGGAAGTTAAAACGGAGATGTTTTGGATAAGGGGAGCGACATGGGCATGGCATTGCACTTCACTATCATACATGTTATACTTGTGACTTTGATGACAATTGTGGTTATATTTGACGTTGTGGTTATGGATTGTATCCTTGGTATATTATAATCCTGTTCTCTTGAAGTCTATTCTATACGTGGATTCACGGGGTCATAAGAGGTGTGTCTTAGACACTTCCTACTGAGCAGTTGGCTCACCCTATTTTATTATTAACATTTTTCAGGATATGGAAGGGAAGTGGCGGACGACGCTCCTCCACAGGTTTTGACGGGTTAGTGGACTGTTTTGACACATTTTATAGCTATGATCCCATTATTATTATTATATTATTATTATGTATCGACATAAGAAAGGATAGTAGTGCTCTTAGTTGACCTCGGGTTCGGATAAGGACCAGGTTAGAGATTCGGACCCTCGGATTCGGGTCGTTACAAATTTGGTATCAGAGCGATGGTTCGAAAACCAGTAGTAGGACGATGAATAGAGGCCTACCTAGGGTTGTGTGGAAAGTGGATTGCATTGTTTATGTGCTTATGTGTTAAAGTATTTGTTACCTGAGAAGCATGTTTACTTGTTTAATTGCTTATGTGTTTACGGTTTTAGAAGGCATGCTTATTTGCTAAGTGTTCACATGTTTAAATGTTTAATTGCTAAAATGTGTGTTATATGGCCATGACAATGAAATGTATAAGTAATTAAAAACATATTAATTATGATATGATGACAAGTGTGATTTAGGTGCTAACGACAAGTAGTAGGCACGGTGTGTGTGCAGTTTTATTTTAAATGATAATGTGGCAAGTAGTGAGCACGATAGGTGTAGACATATCTCGTATGGTATTGTGATGGTTATTAGGCATGGTTATGCAAGTATTTTTTTTAAAAAAAATGAAAGACGGGGGTTAAAAAAAATTAAAAATAAAATAAAATAAAATTTAAATGATGGGACATGATTGTATCATGGTATGGGATACTGTTATTATATATATATGTATACATGTATAGGAGTATGCGGTTGAGCATGAATGGTTGTGTGGGTTTTGACCTAAATAGGCGAGGAGCTCGGTTGCTCCAGGGTTGTGATAAGGGCTCTATGCGTTTGATGGGTTTGCAATCTTACGTCCCTCTATGTGTTTGATTGTTTGATTCAATATATCAAATAGGTGGTGATAAGGGCTTCGACTACTCTCCCTGAGATATATGGTTGTTGCATCTAGTTTAAAATTTAATTATAGTCCCTCTATGTGTTTGATGGGTTTGCAATCTTACGTCCCAGCCAAAGCCAAAAAAAAAAAAACATAGCGAGAACACAAACTCATAGAAAGAGAGTGATTTACAATAGTTTGTACTTCTAGAGAGAGAGGAGGCAGTGAGTGAGGGTGCTTATATTATAATTTTAAGGGTAATTTGATCAGAAAGTACTTAAGAGTAATTTGATCTTCATTCATGAATATTAAAAATTGATGCATGCCTCACAAATAAGTTTCCGGCGTGCAAATGTGCAAAGCGAAGCAAAATAGAGTATGAAATCCAATGAATTTGCAATTGAAGTATTTATACCAACTGAAACAAAACTAGATGCTTATTTCAAAAACTTTTTCTTTAATTTCAACAACTATCTCGGCTTCTATACACAGGGTATTAAACTCATGATCAAATTTCACAAAATTCTGACTGTGATTTCATTGCTTCCAAAAGAGATTGATTGCCTAAAAGCATCTAAATTGAGCAAAGCATCACAAGAATGACTAATATGATATGCATCAACTAATATATACAGACAAAACATGCATTTGCACCCCCAAACTTAATTGTCACATTGTCCTCAATGTGAGAAGACAAGTGATAAGCACAGAAACAAATAAGGGGGAAAGGAATAATAGTACCCAAGTTGAGTGGAAGCTAGGGACTGTGCAAACAAATATTGGCCACCTCGAGAATTCCAAAAGCATTCCCCTAAACTTGGAGTCAAGAACCTGTCAAAAGAATCTATACAAGACAAAAATGGGCTACATTGAAAGATTAGTAGCAACCTAAAGATTACTGCAATTTATTTCAAACTAAAAGTCTATGCAAGATAGCAAAAGAGATGCAGTGGGAAGTTCAAAAAGAAATTAAACAGAAATGCCAAACGCGGCCCAAAAGCAATGCAAAAGGAGTACTACTGAAAAGCAAAAGAAATAGAACTAAGAACATAAGATCAATCCTCCATCGGAGTGAAGGAGGAACCACCAGGTGCACCGGTAGTGCGGTCAAGAAGAATCTGCAACATGTCATGTGATGCCCTAGCGGTGGCCTCTAGAGAGCCAAGACGAGCATCAATGGTGCCAAAATGGGTATCTATAGCGACGAAACGAGCAGTCAGTGCTAAGTAATCGGCACGAGTCATGACATCCGGCGGCTGAGCAAAAGGTGCAGCTGGAGCCGAAGGTGTATCATGAATGGGAGAATCGGAAGCTAGAGGGGGAACCTGGACACCCCAATCTAAGTCACCCCCAATGCGGGCATGGCGGGACGTCTGAAGCTGGGCCCTGCTGGACTTCCAGACCCCGAGGTTAAAATTGAACATGGTTTTCTTTTTCTCCTCGCCACGGGGCGCTATAAAGCCGGCATTTTTTAGCAACCTTGTGATTATGTAAGGAAAGGGGAAAACCCAAGAGGTGGTAGTGCGTGAACGAGCTATGATAAGCTCATTATAAACTTTCAGCATTTAGTCCCAAACAAGCTGTGGGACACAGAACCAATACCCCTTTTCAGCGTCATAAAGGGTTCTTAGAAAATCCCCTTTTCTCTTGAAGTGGCCAGGGACGGGAAGGACATTCTTGTTCAGGATCGAGTCAAGAAACCACAACCGACATGGCAGAAAAGACTTGTTAGTGCTCGTGGTCCGAGTGCTGGTGAACTTATTATGACAAATTTTTGGCACAATGTCAACCAAGGTGAGCTGATCAGGACCTTCCACATAAAGAGGAAGACCCGCTTCATCCGTTGGTGAAGATATCGGACAGTCCATGGCTAAAGCAAAGTCATCGAGGGTGAACTCATATTCATAGCCATCAATGGTTGTTTTGAGTTTGTTCGGCACCGCGCATGAATAGGACATGTTGGCGTAGAAGAGGCGGACCACACGAGGGTAGTAGGAACGAGCACGGGGCTTGAAAAGAGATTGGAGGCCCCGAGCTCTCAATTCACGGACGGACCATGCCGTCTCATTGTTATGCTGAAAGCCGTCATTGACATTAAACTTGGCTTCGGGATCAATTGGCCATTCCGCCCAATTTGGGGGTGGAGGCACATTAGAAGGACCTGCAGATGATCGAGCACACTTAGACGGCACTGAAGAAGCCATTTGAGCAAGAAAAACTGGTTGAGGACTTTTGTCGAACACCTGGCGTGCATCAAAAAGGGGACAAGAGCAAAAATGGTGTTAGCTAGTGATAATGCCCAAAATTATGTACCTAGAATCAACTATACAAGATCACAATAATCAAGCAACCTTCGTCACATCAATCCCAACCTCCCTTAATCTCAAAAACTAAGGAAATAAGCAAGTAGAAAAATAACATACCCAATGTGGAGAAAGAAAACCTTGGAAGGCTTGATGATGGAGAGAAGGATGATGGACAATGAGGAAGAGGAGGGTTGGAGATTGGATAGTGCTTTGGATGAGGTTGATGTGGGAGGAAGGGTTTAGGGGAGTGAGGAGAGGTATGGAAAGAAGTGAGAGGGATATAAGGAAAGAAAGTAAGAAGAAATGGGCTTAAAA